CCCAGATGGCTTTAGTTACCAGCGTAAGTATCAGGACAACTACCATGAATTTGAGTGCTAGGGGATTCCAGAAGTGAGAGTTGTTCTTTCCTTTAGTTAATAGTTCTTCAGCATGGTTCAGTAGGTAACTAAACCCAGGGTCTTCCTCATTTCTACTGATTTAAGCTTAGGCTAGGCTGGCACACACTACAATTCTGGACTTGTTCCCGTTTCTGACTGCTCTTGATTATGTTCTGTAGAAGCTGTTCTGCCACAGCCAATGAACTAGATTCTTTTTTAATGCCTTTTCTACATTCAGAACCATACCCTGATAGTCTGCTTAACTGGGATTTATCTTCTAGTATTTTAATAATTGTTGATGATACTTGTGAGTCCCTGTGGGCTGCTGGTAGAGGCTGGATATGAAAGAAGGTACCTTGGCTTGAAAAAGTCAATACAGTTGTGGGTAAGATGACTGTGGGAGTAGACCCCAGGACACATGCTTTCCGTTCCTGTGTCTGAACCACTGCACCACCATTCTTCTTACAGGTGTGTGAGACTGGATCATTGGCTCATTTTTACTTCTGTTAGGCATTTGGGAGAGAGATTATCATGTACTTGATATCCTTTAATGTGTTCTTGGATGAAAGTACGTAAGCTAATAAAAACCATAGTACTGTATAGCTGAAAAGCTGCCCACAACACATGACCAGAGGTAGCTGTTCCAGAAGGTGAGAATTTCTAATCTTTGTCTTCAGTGAGGTTTGGCCCTAGAACCTAATACTGGCAAGCAGTATGAAGCTCAGCATAGATTTAAGGTGAAGGAAGAATGAAGAAAGGGGTGGAATTAAGACCCAGAGAACATGGAACTTGAGTACAGCTGAGGAAGAGATGCTCAGTTGAGGAGATGTTAGAAACAGCAGTGTCCCAAACCAGCCTTTTCTCCATGAGATGACAGTAAAGTACTGAACAGGTAACTAAATGTTTAGTTACAGGACAGGGACTGTTCTCTGTAATGATTTCTTTTTAAGTCTCTTGTTGACATTGAAGGGAGACTTACTGAAGGCCTTAGGAGAGTATCAAGCTGTGCTTTTGTGTTCCTATACCACATTTGAGCAAGGTGGCAATTTCTGGAGGAAGACAGCCTTTATCCTTTTAACTCAGCTAGTCAAAACGGCAAGTGGGTCTTTCCATTAGGGCAAGCCCTCAAGAGGATTTCGATGTCTGGTGGAGCACATCTCAGCTCGTGTTCTGTAAATACACTAATATCTTTTCCGATGTGTGTGCACAAGTATACGATTTACCAAGACAGGAGGAGGCTGTGTGTGCTGGGAGGCAGCAGCAATGAGGGAGGTGTTCTGCAAAGCAAGGCTGCCCTGCTGTTTTGACAGGGACATCCTTTACAAACCTGGGGGAGAGCCAATGCACTGTCATTGCCCTTGGAGTGGGGACGTTTTGTCTGCTCTCAACTAGCCTTGTTCTGAAGGCCTCAGGCTCGGTCTGTCTCTGCCGAGATTTCAAGGCTTTAGCTCTCCCTCCAGCGGCAGGAAGCAGCTTCATACTGCAGCAGCTTGTGCTGTAATAACGCTGATCAAAGTCGTCTTCATTCCCTTTATGTTTCATAGCTTGTCCCTCCTGAAAAATTCAAACTGTCCTTGCTACCACAGAAGTGGGGCCCTGAAAGGGTGGGCTTGAATTTGGCGTTAGGAGGAGTGTGTTTCTGCTGACCAGTCAGCTCCTGCCTGTGCCTGTTCACTGCCTGCTGCATTCAGAGCTGGGTTGACCGGGATGCCACTTCTGTGCTGTGTGTAGGATAGCCTTAATCAGCATCAGCAATTACTCTTTTTATTTTTTCCAAACACATGAGTTTATTTCAGGAGACCTGAGATTCATTTCTATACTGTGCCCTGCATCGGAGAGAATGAAGAGGAAGAAAGTACCTTTCAGGCCCAATCTGTTTTCAGATAAGCATTTCAGTGTGGCTGTGTGTAATCCTTTCTCTCACAGACTTTAGTTTAATCCCTTTTCTCTGAACAAATAGGTGTCCTCTGGCAAGGAACTGATGCGTGGCTGTAAATAGGCAGTGTTTTTATTATCCAGTTAATCTCCATTTATTATCACACATTCAGCAACAGCAGACGTTCCCCTACTTATTTGTCTGTTCACAGGAAGAAATTTTATCTTAGTCAGTGGATTATGGTAAAGGCTGAGTGAATCACTGTGCTGCAACATGGTCAGCCCTTTCAGGGCTATTCAGACAATGCAACTGGCCAGCCAGCCAGATAAAATGTTTAATGCTCTGGATTGTCAGGATCATCAATTTAGTATTCATGTCTCTATAGCACTGCCTAAAGCCAGCGTTTAAATGGAGCTAGAAATTACATCAGTGTAGCAGATGGGCTTTGAGTGAGTGCAATACACATGGTGTTTTGCACTGTGAGGTTGAGTTTAGGGTTCCTCTGAACCCCTGTGTCACTGCTTTTCAAATGTGATGGTTTGAACTTCACCTAATAGGCTGAGGACATAACATACCCTGTTCTGTCAGGGTTACAAGCTGCAGCCTACAGTGAGTGCAGGTGCCAGAACACTGAAGTGTCTTGTTAATTTTTTCTCACTTGCTGCGCATCTGAAATTAACTCCTGCCTCTTTCCCTGTAATTCTCTGTATTCACATCCCTTGTGCTGCTTCAATGCTTTCTTCCCCAAGTACTTTTCCCCTCTTCCTGACCTCCTGCCCTGTGAGGGTCATTTGTGCCCACACTCCAGCAGGTGAATGTCTGTATAGTTTTGTTTCTTAACTGAAGCACAGCTTTGTGTGTAACTGCCATTAACAGTAAGTACTTGTGCAAGTGCTGCACTTGTGCTTGGCTCAACAAGGTTACTGAATTGTGTTTTTTTTGCCAAACTCCTGCTTTGAAAGCAAGGGTTGCTCTTCCACCAAAGTCTACTGATCAGCAGCACGTTCCTTTTGCTGATAGTCACATCGGCTGCAGTTTACTCAGGTACTCAGTCTACCCAAAGCCATTGTCTGAGTGGTTTTGCTGCTCTAGGTCCACGTCCCTGACCTTGTGGATACCCAAGATGACATTTTTGTTCTGTGCTGGATGCTGACCAAACATGATTTTGTTTTGATGATTCATGCCCCACATTTCATCCCCAGTTGAGCAGCAGAAAGTGTTACTATCTTTGTGCCTTCTTTGCTGTGTTATTATTACCTTTGCTTGAGGTTTGTCTACAGCCATTGTCCTGGCAGAACAAAGGGAAAAAAGGACCCGGCCTTGTACCATGCAGCATGACAGATTTGAGGCACTTAGTGAATGTGTTTGCACAGCTGCTCTCATGATTTGGCTGCTAATTCTGACTTTAGGGGGGTTCACTCATTCCTACTTTTCTGGCATAAAAAGCTTCACATTACTGCTAAGCTTGCCTTGAGAAAATAAAGAAGAAAATCTAGTAAGATTAGGCTATACTGCAATGTAATAGGGTAGATTATTGATGTCTTTGATTACTGTTATCATATAAGCAAACCCAGTATTTATTTTAGTGCAATGAATGGACTTAAAGGCACAGCGTATGAATAGTTGGGAAAAGGATCTACATGAGTATGGACAATGCATTTGTTGTGATGTTGGGGAGGGTGCAAGGTGGCCAGTGCTGCTGTTTGGAAGAAGTGCATATGAAAACCTTCCCTTGGTAGTGCTGTACATTTGCCTTCTAAACAGCATGTCTGAATACATACATACCCCTTGTCTTCTGGTAAAAGTAAGCAAGCCTTTTGAAAAATGGCCCTGTTCTCATGCTGACAAATTGTTTGTGTCTTTATTGTTGTTGTATTCTTTTTTGTATTTAGTGAGATGCATGCCTTACCAGGAGAGGGCAGTTACCAGTTTTAGAGTATTCAACAAGACAGCGTGTATGCTAGCTGCGAGGAAAAAGCGTGAAGATACCTTTTTCACTCAAGTAGCAAGGATATTTTTGTGTTATAGCAAATGGGCTGTTTGGATCTTTGTTGCTTCAGATCTTCATCGCTGCAAGAGCTAGCTGTAGACTCATCCACTATTACTGTTTTCCTCTTGTAAGAGGATTAGGATCAGTTCATCAGTGCAAAAACATGGGGCTGGTGTTAGGGGAGTCCAAGGTAAGAGACTAATTTCAGGATAGGTAGGATCTTTGGGAGGAGGAACTTTTGTACACAGATCCTATTTTAGCCTTTGGAAGGCTGACTCAGAACTGGACTGAGAGACTAGAAAAAGCTTCTTCCCTTGGATGAGCAGTGACAAAGTATTTGGAAGCAGCTGGTATTTCTTCTGCCTCATTAATACTTGAGACAAGGAATAGGTTAATTTCACCTTCATTATTAGAAATGAGTCTAAAGCAGTCCAGAAGGCTACTCTACAAAATTAATGCCAGAATAGCAGTTGATGTAAGCTGGACTTAATGATGTATGCCTGCTGGAATACACAGTGGCTGGGTTTTCAAGTGTGTATCTAAATGATTCAACAACAAATGTTTGTGGAATATTTTTTGTACTTCACTGTGGCCAAGTCCTTTACGGGCACTGAGGCATGTACTGATGCAGACAGGCACTAGATTCATAGGTATCTTTGAAACAGCTGACCTTTTAAAAATTTGTGGGTTTACCAAGAAAACCAGTGGAGACATACAAGAAAAAAAAGATCTTTTCCTCAATTTCTCATAGTGGACAACAGAAAGCTGTACCACACTGTCAGCTTTTAAAGGGGCTTAGAGCCTTGACTGGTGACCCTATAGTTAAGAGTACCAGTTGAGGGCTCCAAATTGTACAAGTAGACATGTTTCAAAACTTGGGAAAAGAGCAGCAGAAAGCCTTGTGCATGCAGAAGGACCCCTGAAAAAAAGGTAGAAGCCAGTGACTACATCATTTAGCAACTTCTGCCCTAAACATTATAAAGTAAAGTAACTTCCCCCTTTCTTCATATAGTTTTAAAATGTGAAGGTGATACATTGTGGCTAATGTAATGACATTTTTTCTTTATTCTACAGATTCAGCCAGTTATTGATGAAGTCTTCTCTTTTTCTGAAGTTCCAAAGGCCTTTCAGAAATTGGAAGGAGGACATGCACGTGGAAAAACAGTGATCAATGTAATTAGTAAAAAATAAAGTATCTCTAATCATTATTCTCCCTGCAGTCAGTCCTTTACTGGTAAATTGTTGCCCTTGAACATGTACTGGTACACAGCAGCTGTTTCTTCTTTAAAAGCTCGCATAGGTTGCATAATTAAAAAAAAAAAAAAAGAAAAAAGAAATCTTTTAGAAAAGCCTCTCTGATTCCTTCATGCTCTGCTTTTGGTAACTCTTAATGTCCCATACGTGTTTTTACATGTAAGCCATGTCAATAATGTAGTTGTGACTTCTGCAGAATACCCCTCCCTCTTGGAATAAGAGGAACAGCCAGAAGCATTTTCTGTTGGTAGATCATGGAGCTTTTATTTTCCAGATGTTTTAGCTAAGTCCCAAAATTGTGAGGCGTACTTGTATGTAACTGTCCAAATGCAACTTGTGCTGTCCTTTTTCCCCTGGCCTTTCCTAGTTCTGTTCAACTTTATTAATACATATTATTACTCAGTCTAGTTCATTCTCAGAACCTGTAAACTTTCCCTGTAGTAACTGGTCACACTGCTACCTCAAGCCTGGCACTTTAATCTTGATATGGCAAATTTCTCATGGCAAAACTAATCTGAGTAGAAGCATAGAACAAAATCCATCTGCAACTAACTGATAATTGTTCTAATTGCCTATCTTCTGGCACAGAGTCAGCTGACTACAGTGTTTACGCAGGTAGGGTAGACATGATTTTGTCAGTAATCAGGAGACCCTGTTTCTGCCATGGCCCCTGTCACTGCTGCTGGGGGTGAAGTGCTTGAGGGTGTATGTGTCTGCTGCTCTGTTTTTAAACTTACATTTTGCAGAGATGGGCTACAGAGTGACTTGCCCTGCAATTATGCAGGCAGATCAAAGGAAAGTGGTAACCTCTTAATTAGAGCTGCACATATACTGTGGTGCAGCTATGGTGGTGGAAAAAACATGTCATACAGTGCTTCCACCAGGGGAAAGCAACAGCAGCCATGAGAACTGTGGTTCCATGTACAAATGCACTGAACACACGCTTTTACAAGAGAAGCATCTATTCCTCAGAGCCTGCAGCCATTCTACACCATGTATTCACTCCTCATTTGGGGTCACAGATGAATTACGGGCAAAGAAGGATATAAGACAGAAGCAAAACTAACCATAAAATGTCAGCTTTCTACCTTTAAAAATAATTTCAATTAAAAGTTACCTAACTAAATTTATTTGTAAAATGCTATATTATATATAGCAAGAGCACATCAATATGACAAAGTACCACTGTTTGGAACCAATAACAATGCATTTTCTATGAAGAACTAAAAGCAGCACGTTTCAGAGCAACAAAACTTAAGTACATCTGTACAAAAGGAGGAAAATTAGTAAGGCACTTCCTCTAGAGTGGTAACAATAAAAGCACCAGTATCCTTTGAGGCAATACAATAGTAATGAAAACGTTGATTTTAAACAGACTTACAATTCAAGACAAAGGCCTGGATGCTCCTGGGAGCAGCTTGTAATAACACTGGTCTAAGCCAGAACAAAAACACAGCAGCATAGTACAAGACTTTGTATTTTACCTTTTTGCCAACATTATTAAGGAAAACAAAGAAAACCAGATTAAGAGCAGGGCAACAGAAGAACCTTCTGAAGTCATCAGACTTACTTGTCACAAGCTCTTTACCAAACCAGTAATGCTTACTCTGAACAGGCACAGCCCTTGTGACTGGGCATGTATCCAGGCTTGGCTATGCCACTTACTAGAGCAGTCTGACGCATCTGCTCAGCAGCAACTGGGAGCCAGCAGCCCACCATGGATGTTGTTCTCCAACATTACCAGAAATACTGGGGAGTCCAGCTTTCTCTACAGTAAGCCCAGCGGGCAGTGGCTGAAAAACCGGGCAATTACAGTGCTTAGGTACTGTTGCAGTCACCTTTAGTGGTACTTTCCCTAAGAATTCTTGTTTTCAATATGATTTTGGAGTTCAGGGAGATTATAATTATTGGAACTGTTTTAAAAGGTAAAAATCTGACTTAGCAAAGAAGTAAAATACCTGTAACTCAAAAAGTTAGGCAGCCTAGAAAACGGGCAAGTTCTTCACATTCTGATGCATCCTTTAGCCAGCCCTCTCTTTTTCTAACAAAGATCTACTAATTTATATCATCTCTACATGAGAAAATCTAGTTCTTTTGTAATTTAGGACTTAGCTCTATTAGCATTCTAACTATATATGAAGCCACATGTTAAAAATTCTTTAGATGTGCTGTCCCCTAGCAGTCTTCAAACTTCCAGTAAATGTTTGTTCCAGTCAAACAAATATATTAATTTCCAGTAGTGAATATTTCGCTATACTACAGGCCCATAGGTCCAAGTTGCTATACCCATATACACACTGCACTCCTGCCCTTTATAAAATAAGCTTTATTTAGTTTTTAGCTCTGCTCTCAGTTAAAAACAAAAACCCTCTTGAAAAATAATTTAAAGTTATGCTTATTGACTATTCTGGATTAACTACTCACTGACATAACTGTCACTCCAGGGAGTTTCCCTCACCTTTAGTTATTCCACTCTAGCCCAAGGCACACTACCATTCTCTCTCTCCTATTGACTGGAAAAAAGAATAAAAGGGTTGAGAAATACTCCAGGTTTTCTGGGGATAATAATCTTAGATAGAGAGGTGAAACCATTCTGTTGCTTGTTCTTTTTAAAATTGGGAAGAAAAGACAAAACTCTTGTTGATCCCATATCCTTCAGAGATGGCAGTGCCAATTCTAGCATCTGGAACAGCAGCCAATTAAAATGTCATCTTTGCTTGTTTGAGTTTATACAACCAATGGTTCCCAACACTGTGTTAGCTTTTCTTCATTGACTGTGTTGACAACAACATGGTCATGGTCATACTGTGCGCCTCCTGTAAAGAAAGATTTCAGAGGGTAGATTAGCTTTGAAATAAGAGACATGTACTCTAGGTTTCAGGGCAATTCTAGTAAGTGCCAGTGTAGACAGTTTCCCTTCTCCCCAAGGCACTGAAAAGACAAATGCCCTTTCATCACTGCCTGCTTTTGAAATTCATTTTGAAGCAAGGGAGGCTGCCTGCTCCTCTCCAACCCTTCAGTAATTCAGTACCTCAGCTTTGTCAGCCTGGGTGGGAAAGGAAGGAAACACTGTAGTACAGTCAGGTGTGGCTCCTTGAAGACTGTCACTTCCCAAAAGTCATGCTTGCCTGTTCAGTTTTCCCTCAACAGCTGTCAGTTGTCACTTTGCTCTAAGGATGATGTTTACACAATGAAATAAGTCCTGCTGCTAGCAGACAATGCGAGCAGGACCACACCAGGGACAAGCTCTGGTACTCATTTACTCTTCACCATTATAATCCTGTGTTTGGAGCAGCTGCCAGACACAGAGTATCACCCAATGTTCAGCTGTTTCCACTGGCAAATACAGCCCTTTCTTAGAGGGGCTTAATTTACTTGTGCTGCAATGTTCATGCATGCTGAAACATGTTCCCATAGAAGCGCACCAGTACTAATCTGACTTAAACTCTGAAGCAAAGAAATGTATGACTACAACTGAAAGTGAGAACTGACATTTTTCTTATATCTAGTACATACTGCAAAAGTGTAGGACATGTGCATCGCATACAGTACAACATGCCTACAATAGCAGGTAGTATCCCCACTGGAAGCAGCCATCTGAGCCAACCTTCATACAGAGAGCACCAGGCCACCCCTGCAGACAGAGTCATTCTGCACCCCTATAGCCTCACCCTCCCCAAACAAGCAAAAGACAAGCTTGGCAGCCAAAAGCTTATGATGAACGTAGCAAGTGTAGATTCTAGCAGATCTCAGCAACAAATATACATGGCCAGGCACATTTAAGAACAGCTCTTCTGTACAAAGGAAATGCCATCTCAAGCACCTTAGCTGTTTCCTGCTTCAGGAATTTGGGGGAGGCTTCCTTGGTGACACTGTCCCAAAGCAGAAAGGTCTCTGAGAAGGTTAACACCAACATGATTTGTCTCCTCAGGCAGTTACTAAAAGCAGTAGGGATACACAGCAGAAATACTTGCAAAGTTCTTCAGAAAGAGAGTTAATAAAAGGGAATACCAGATCTAATAATCCCATGGGAAAGAAAACCTAACCAGCAGCTACAAAAAATAACGTTACCTAAATAGCTCAGTAACCACTGCGAGCACAAGAAGTACTTTTTAAGCAGTGTCTGATAGAATATAAACACGTTATAAGGGAAGAGATAGGATTTCTTTCAGTGGAAGAAGAGACTATTTACTTTGGTAGAGCAGTGCCCTGGACAAGGCGTTGTGCTGTGCCACGGCATCCACAAGGTGGCATTGGTAACTGCACAGTTAACAATTGCATTCACTTGCTGAAGAATTCATTAATGCTCAATTTGTGGTCAAGAACAGATCAGCAAGATTGGTAGAAGCAGGTAATGTTCCTACTAGGCTTTCTCAAATAAAAGTTGAATGTACCTACTCTTTCATATTTACCACACAGGTTTACTTTTTTTTTTTTTAACTAAGAGCACATCTATACTTTCAGCACCAGCCCATTGTGAGATTCTGCAATTATAAATGCAGACTGCGTAACTACTTTAAACATGATGAATTCAAGACAAGGCAGTGTAATTTCTTCTTGTTTGGTGCAACCCAGAACTCACTTTAGAAAAAGATATGCAGAGTTACCCTGACTAAACCCTCTCCCTTGAACTGGAGGCTTTTTGATGATTTTATAATTAATTGCCACTAGCTTTTTATGACAGTAAAGAGAATTAATGATGATTTGTGCCAGTGTTGTATTATGGTCAAGCATTAGATAACCCTTTTCTCACAGTTCTGATAGTCTTTTTTAGTTCTAAAGTGCTGACTCTGGTATTTTCCTTTCTTTTCTCTTTTTTTTTTTTTCTTTTTCTTTTGTAATGGCTGTAATTAATGTCACAGCATCAATGCAAAATTCATCTTAAAACAGCTAAAAAAAACTAAACAGCTATAGCAAATTATTATTATCCCCACCTGAAAGAGTGAGAGTTATT